GCGGCAGCGCCAAGGACCAGCGTAGAGTATGCGCGCTGCCGCTGCGCGTGTGGCCAGAGTGTACGGAGGAGAGTGGTGAGTGCTCAGCGGCATAGCTGAGCGCATCCTCAGCCGGGGGACGCACGTAGCAGTAGGGCAAGTGTGCCGATTGCGTGGAAGGCGCTGTTTGTTGCTGCGCAGACGTTGCTGAACTCGTCGAATGCTGTTGCTGCTGCTGCTGTTGTTGGTGATGTTTTTGTAGCTGTTGCAGCTTAAGATTGCACTTTTTATCGGAGACCTGTTGTCGGCTGAAGCCACAAATTGTGTGTCGTTTATTTGTGGATGCGCGACAAAAGCAACAACAGAGCAGACGCTCGCAAAATCCGCTCGCCAACTTGGCCAGTATGCTGCCGATGCTCGAGAGATAAACCAAGGTGAGTGGTATGCCCAGTGTGGCATACACAATGGTCACCATGCGGCCAAGTGTGGTGCGTGGCGTGATAGTGCCATAGCCTGGAACGAGAGAAGAAATTGATATGTAAATAGTTGATGGAAGGATCTTGGAAGGAAATGCTGCTTAATTTTAATCACTCAAAATTGAGTAAAAAACTTGAATCGCTGAGCCACTAGATGCGGTCGAACCCGAAGAAAGTCGCCCTTTCATACCGTCGGTTATTCGGAGCTTAACGGAGATCTAACATCGTCAGTCCTACTACCCATCTTTCGAGGAAGGCAGTTACCGGCTGGATTTCGACACAAAAACTAAGGACGGAGTAGAATTTAACAACGTACGAAGGATGGAATACTATCGACGACCTCATTTAGCCTTTTCTTTGCAAAACTGCGCTTACTACCTTGGAGAATTCCAATTAGCCCTACACGCCGCAGATTTTTCACTGCCCTAGACTATAAACCATCTGAACACTGTTATCGATGGAGTTAAAATTTCGACCACAAGCACCCTGATACTTTTAATAGCCTCGTATTATACTTCGCGAAACTTACAGCAGTAAGTAATGAACCCGGTAGCAGACACAAGGCCCTCAGTCCGCTGGGCTGCAATTTTCCACCTACGTACCTATCGGCTGGACTGTACTAAACTAAGTAAGTTGACTAACGGCAGACCGTTGACACTCCAGCCGTTCGGCGTAATACCTTTGTTTGCCTCCTTATGATTGAAGAATATCTACACAATGAGTTACTAAAGCCTTCAATGAAGCAGCACAACATATCAAATTAATAACATACATTCAAGAAGCACTTGTTTCCGTCCCACCCATTTCCGTTGCACCATCTCCGTGTGCAATTTCCGTTGAATTTGCCAATTTACTACCAACCAACCAACCGCCGCTAAAGAGGTCTCACTTAAAAAAAAAATCTTGGAATAAGTTACGACCGACAAGTGAACTAAAGGGTGAACACACCAAAACTGCGACACTTAGAAATTACTACCAGAAACAAACTAGAAGGCTTTGAAATTATTTTTTTTTGTATTATATAACTTGGAAGTTTAGGTGTTATTAAAATGTTAAAATATTAGTTATTATTTGCTCCATATGCAAGTGATCGGTATTTTCATCGCACACGCGCCATCATTTTCTGCACGACTGCATCATCGACATTACGCGATGCGCACAACTACTTTATTTTGCACTCTTCAATAATTTTCACTCTTTCACCTCTTTTCTTCAAGATTCCTTTGACAATTGACCAATGTTCCCCAATAGGACGTGGCTCTGGGCTATTGGCTGGATTGCAGTCGTGAGGTACAAAATTGATGTTATTTGCATTATACCACGGCAATGTGTCTTTGGCATAGTGGCAGGTTCCCATGTCCGCCTAGAACGATGGCCTACTCCTTATCTGTTGATAAATGACAGAAGACGCCTTTTGAGGCACTCATCCCGATAAACTTGATCATTCATTGTCCCGGATAGTCATGTAAAACTCTCTTTGTTCTTATATAATCCTCTCTTTGATC